AGGCGGCGCTGCCTGTGCGCTTTAGCACTGCAAGCGTGCCGGGAGAAAAATGCTTGCCCCCACCTTCCTCCTCCGGGCCCTCTCTCCTGGCTTTGTCTTGCCGTTTCGTCCACGTCGTTGTCGTCGTCGCCGTCGTCGTCGTTTCTTCCACGCTGCTTCTGGTATCACCGCGCGCGCCGCGCAATGTAGTGCCTCGGGCGTGGTTGGGGCGTCCCGCAAGTTTTTCTGTTTCGCAGACGGGTGGTCGTTTTGGTCTCGGTCGTGCTCGTCGCCACCGCCCGCCCTCCCCTCCGCGCTTTCCTCTCGACGGCGCCCGCGTCGTCGTCGTCGTCGTCGTCGCCCGCGCGCTGCCGCGCGGCGCTGCTGCGCCCCGCCTTCTCGATGGGGGATGCCGCGACCCAGTCCAGGTTGAGCTTAGCGCTCGAACATGTAACGGTTTGTCCCCCTGGCCGTGCAACCGTGATTTTCAGTGCATTCACTCGCCATCTCCCTGCCAAGCGCAGTTGGGTCTCCAGCAGGGCAGCTTCCAGCGGCTGCCGAGCCCGCTGCTACTTGCGCGCGTCGCCTCATGGGTTGATCGGCTCTGCGCCGGTCGGTCCAGACTCAGTTGCGTCGCTCGTTGCGTCAGTTCTCTCATTGATCGCGCCTGCGTCGTCGCAGGCCGGGGCCTCCCCGGCACGGGGCGCCCCCATTCGCCCCCCCCCCCCCAGTCCTGCAGCTGGGCCTCGAAACTTGTCGCTCATCTTTGCACTGGGCCGTTCGCAGGTCTCCTCAGGTCTTCATGACTGCGCCGCCAAATTCGCCGCTACAGGATTCAGGCCTGGCCGCTAAAGATTTGTCTTCGGTCGGTTATCTTCCTGTCAAGCGTTGGATGCTGTTTCGGCGCAGCGATTGTCGTCGCGCGCGTTGCCACAAGGGCCTTCGGTGGAGCTCCGAATGGGCCACGAAACGTTGTGTTGGGCGGGGGAAGCGCATGCGGAATTTGCCACTGGGGCCTTCGGTGGAGCTCTCTATGGGGCCACGAATCGGTGGAGCTCCCTATGGGGCCACGAAGCGATGCGCTGGGTGGGGGAGACGCATGCGAATGCGGACTTTGCCACGTGGACCTCCGGTGGAGCTCCGCATTGGGCCGCGGAACGCTGCGCTGGGTGGGCGAGACGCATGCGGACTTTGCCACTGAGGCCTTCGGTGAAGCTCCCTATGGGCCACGAAGCGCTGCACTGGGCGTGCGGGACCCATGCGGACTTTACCACTGGGGCCTTCGGTGGAGCTCCCCATGGGCCACGAAACGTTGTGTTGGGCGGGGGAAACGCATGCGGACTTCGCCACGGGGGCCTTCGGTGGAGCTCCTTATGGGGCCACGAAACGTTGTGCTGGGCGGGGAGGGGGGCGCGTACGGAATTTGCCACTGGGGCCTTCGGTGGAGCTCCCAATGGGCCACGAAACGTTGTGCTGGGCGGGGAAAAACGCATGCGGAATTTGCCACTGGGGCCTTCGGTGGAGCTCTCTATGGGGCCACGAATCGGCGGGGCTTCCTACGAGGCCACGAAATGCTGTACTGGGCGTGCGGGGGTCATGCGGGCAGTCCCACTGGGGCGTTCGGTGGGGGCCCCTACGGGGCCGCGAAGCGCTGTGCTGGGCGTGCGGGGCGCACGCGGGCGGTCCCACTGGGACTTTCGGTGGGGCGTCCATATGGGGCCTTTGTATTGGGTGGGGGCGACGCATGAACGGTCTCACTGGAACCTTCGGTGGAGCTCCTTATGGGGCCACGAAGCGCAGTACTCGGTGGTGCGTGACGCATGCGGGCGGCCCCACTGGGGTCGTCGGTGGAGCTCCCTATGGGGCCACGAAACGCTGTGGTGGGTCGTGCGTGACGCATGCGGGCGGTGGCACTGGGGCCGTCGGTGGAGCTCCTCATGGGGCCACGAAGCGCTGTACTGGGCGGTGCGTAACGCATGCGGGCGGTGCCACTGGGGCCTCCGGTGGAGCTCCCTATTGGGCCACGAAGCGCTGCACTGGGTGTGCGGGACGCATGTGGGCGGTTCCAATGGAACCTTCGGTGGAGCTCCCTATGGGGCCACGAAGCGCTGTACTGGGTGGTGCTTGACGCACGCGGGCGGTCCCATTGGGACCTTCGGTGGAGCTCCATATGGGGCCACGAAGCGTGTGAGATGTGTGCTATGATGATGATGACGGGAGGGGGGAGGAGGGGGAGGAGGAGAGGAGTGATGCGGGGCGCTGTCTCTTCAAAACGAGGACCCAACACCACAGGATGGTTGGCGAAAAAACCAATGAATCCATTGAGTATCGAGCATGCAAATATAAAATAATTAGCATCCCAGACCCAGGGGAGATGGGATCCGCGGGGCACCGCACGTCAAGCATCATGCTATCCATGGAACTGTGGATCTGCTGACCGAAGCTATGATTATTCGGGGGGCGGGGGGTCTACAGCGGGCCAGGCCAACTCCCGCATCTCCTCCCATACCATATGGCACGCCCCAAGCCGAAGAGATCGCTACATGTATCCGCTCACCTGAACGGCGCGTCGCTTCCGACATTTCGGGCTCAATAGGGAAATCTGTCGGCCTGCGTAAGCGGGGTTTCGAAGTGCGTCTCTCCCACTAACACCATGCACTCTTTCGCAAAAACATCAGTCGCACGGCGTGCGATGTCACTAGTTCGCCGATCGCTACAGAAAGGCGGGCGCCAGGGATAATGAGACAGACGCATGATGTATGCTGTATGTGTTCTGCTACCGTCGCCCC